CATGTATTTATTATTTGCTTTCGCGTAGCGGTTACTACATTGTGATATTCCACCCCTAATACCTCGTTCAATAAACATTACCATATCAATGTCAGTTAACAATTCTAGTTCAATTTCGGTGGTTTTTAGCATACTATCAAAAGCAAGTCCAGGAGCAGTGTAATAATGCAAACTATCTAATTTATACGTCATCCAACAGGTCGATCTAAAGTTTTCAAAAATGTCTGCAAGTAGTAGGACGTCTGTTTTTAAATATAATTCGGCATATTCTTGTAAATTTCTTATTTCAAAGGTTTGCCAAACATCGCACGCGTGCTTGTATTCATTTTCAGTTATATGACAATTGGAAATTCTACTGTAAAAATGTTCTTTTGATGGTAACTTTGTATCTTTCAATTTTTCCCAACAGTCAAGATAATCATATGGAAAAATACCTTTACGTTGAAGTAAATCAAATTCTTTTTCGTTTTGACAATGTTTTCTAGTAATTTTCTTTTGTTCTTTACCTAAATAAGACGATAATTTATCTAAACTACTAGCCATAAAGCGTAATGAATCTAAAGATCTAAAATTTATATTAGTATTTTTAACATACTTTGAAAATGAAATATACTTCTCTTTATTCACTAGTAATAAGGAAATATGACCTATTTCAGTACATAAAGTCTTTAGTATAAAATGACTATCGTACCCAGACAAATTGTGAAAAATGACTGGAATTGAATGACTATATAATTTAAGTTACATTTTGAGTGTGCCGGACCTGTATAATTACCTGTAAGATGACAGTGATCTTTTACTTTAATATTATCATGAGTGAATGGTTTATAGCAGATATGCCACCTTTCCGCTTTAAAAAAAGTTACATTCTTCTTCATAAGTCAGTTTTTTCATAGGAATTACATTAGAAAAGATATTTTTGAATTTACACGCCATTCGTTCAAGTTCTTTACCAAACTACAAGACACAATCCTTTCCAGTATATAGTTTAAACTCAGAAAATGAGTCATCATATGAACAATTTAGGTAATATGCAATACTGAAAGGCTCATGTTTTTGATACTTTTGCGTTTTGTATGTAGAGTTTGCATCGGAATATTTAAGAAGTAAACTGTAGTCACCCTGTGTGTAGTCGTAGTAAGAGGTGACTATCAATATCGTTGGATACATTATCTGTATCATTGATGATTGGCACAAAATCACAGCTTCCAAGGGTTGACGCTTTATCAGCGTTCTAATAATAGCGAGCCTGGTGGACCAATTTATTCGGATATTTATTTAAATTTATTTACATGGTTTAAATGGCAAAGAACACTTCAGCACTTTACATTTATGTATGTATTTGCCGTTGACCTAGTTAGTCGCAGTGTGTCGCGACCTAACTAAGTCAGCACAAATGTAGACGCTTAATTGATACACACAATAAATGTTTTTCGCTATACCGAGTGTTCCCACAGGACCCCCCTTCCAGTGAGGAACAAAGTGGACTAGCTTGCTCGGATATAGCTAGGGAAATGTACTCGACGACCGGACCGGGTTGTAGTATGGGCTGGTCGATCGTCCATTTTCCTCGTTGTGAGTATCGGTTGGAAGTGCTGTTCTTCTTTCATGATGTATGCTGGTTTCAGTCATTGCACTGATACAGATTTGCTTGTGTTAGGAATGTGAATCCGTTTAAGTTGTAGGGATTGGTTAGAGTTGAGATAAGTTTGAAGTTCCCTGTCGGATTCCTGCTCAGAGATTCTTGAGAGTGTGTCTGCGATGATATTGTCCGTCCCAGAAATATGTTGGATGTTCTTAGAGAACTGGCTAATGAAATTGAGGTGCCGTGACTGTCTGGGAGAGCATTTGTCAGGGTTCTGACGGAAGGCAAAGGTGAGGGGCTTGTGATCCGTAAATATAATGAAGTCACGGGCTTCGAGAAAATGGCGGAAATGCTTAATTGTGCGATAAATCGCGAGAAGTTCTCTGTCGAAGGCGCTGTATTTAACTTCAGCGTTCGATAGCTTGGAGGAGAAAAATGCAAGGGGTTCCCAGGTTCCATTGTGGAATTGTTGTAACGCAGCGCCCAAGTGATGGTCGGATGCGTCACAGAAAATTGCTAAGGTAGCATCTGGTTGTGGATGGTGCAGAAGAGTCGTCTGCGCCAGTTGCTCCTTACTTGAATTGAATGCCTCGTTGGCTGTGGGATTCCATTGTAGTGGTGCATTTCCTTTGATTTTCCCCAGTAAAAGTTCATTCAGAGCAGAATGAGTGCGGGCAGCGTTAGGCAGGAACTTTCTGTAAAAGTTGAGCATACCCAGGAAACGACGCAATTGTTTTGCGGTAGTAGGCTTGGGGAAATTGGAGATTGCTGTTACTCTGTCGGATAAAGTGCTTATTCCATTTGCCGAGACAGAATAACCTAGAAAAGAGACTTCTTGTTTATCAAAGTTGCATTTTGCTTGGTTAAGCAGTATTCCGTATGAATGTAGACGAGTAAATAACGTGCGTAAATGCTGTTTTTTCTGTTCAGCACTTTCTGATGCGACCAGTATGTCGTCGATGTAAGCAAAACAGAAATCAAAGCCGTGTAACACTTCGTCAATAAAACGTTGAAATGTTTGGCTGGCGTTACGTAAACCAAAATTCATGTGAGGAAACTCGAACAATCCTAAAGGTGTTGTGATGACTGTCTTTGGAATGTCTTCTTCTGCGACTGGAATTTGGTTATACGCTCTAACCAAGTCGATCGTTGAGAAAATCTTCTTATTTGCCAGTGCATGCGTGAAATCGTCGATGTTGCGTACAGGATATCTGTCCGGAATTGTTCTCGCGTTGAGATCACGGTAGTCTCCGCATGGGCGCCATTCATCGTCTTTCTTTGGGACCATGTGCAGTGGAGATGCCCAGGGACTGGAGGAGGGACGTGTGATACCCAGTTGTACCAACGTTTCAAATTCTCTTTTGGCTGCAGAGAAACGGCCCGGGGCTAAACGTCGTGGTTTGCATGCTACTGGCGGACCGGGGGTAGTGTTGATATAGTGCCTTGTTGCATGTTTCGAAGAGGTGATGTGGCCGTTGGGTCGAGTTAATGACGGAAAATTACGAAGTATGTCGTGGTATGGCGAAGTGGTCGGTTTCGTTCCTGTAACGAAAGTGACGGAAGATTGGCAACAGTTGATTACTTGACCAGCGGTGGTGAGGTGNTATTTTTAAATTATAATTATTCTAACTTTTCCGGGTGTTTTCTTTTGGTACCTGCTGGCTGTTGTCCGAATCAGTGAACGGGGTAAAACGGGTAGTTTTATTTTCTGGTCACAACATTTATGGCGACCGTGACAGGACATTTTACGGCGGTAGTGCTCTAATTTGAAAAAGGAAAAGTTATCAGTGACAAACTTTTACCGTCGCTTCGGATCTGAGGTTCTGATAGTGTGCGACACGAGCGCGGTGATGTCAAGTTAGTTTATTGGTTATTTAAGTTATTTAACATGGAAACAAAGAAGAAAAATCGCAGGGTATTACGTGCCGGGTTTACAAGATGCGCGAACGAATTAGAACAATTACTTGTGGCGGAAGAAACTGATCCTCAAAGTGTAAGTGTTCTTTGGGAAATGTTGCAGCGCAAAAATGAAGCTTTGGGGGAAGTAGATAATGAAATCTACAGTCTTTTACTGGAAGACGGTACAATTAGCGAACTGGACTTCCTGGCTTAAATTTAATGCCATCGATGATTACAGGAAGAGGTTCATCGATATCAAACTACGACGTATGGAGTTTGATAAACAATGTATTGGGGCAGGTTCATCTTTAGAAGTTGATGATGGTAATGCAGAGCAGAGATCCGTCGCAAACAGTGTAGTAAGTGGAAGCACCGTAATTGGTAAGCGAAAATTCAAATTACCTACAATAGAATCGAAGAAGTTTGGCGGGGACATCAAAGACTGGCTTCCGTTCTGGGCGCAATTTAGGAAAGTACACGAGGATTCAGAGATAGACGCGAGTGACAAAATTTCTTATTTGATTCAAGTTACGATACCTGGCAGTCGCGCCAGACAATTAGTCGAGAGTTTTCCTGCGATTCAAGAAAACTACGGAAAAATTGTTGAAGCTTTAGTTTCTAGATTCGGGCGCGATGATTTGCAAATAGAGGTGTACGTCCGAGAACTCTTGAAACTCATCCTAAATAACGCGATGTCCCGTGGTAAATTTGATATTTCTGTTTTATACGACCAAATAGAAACACAGTTACGGTCACTTGAAACTTTAGGCATTACTTCCGACAAATGCGCTGCAATGCAGTTTCCTCTGATAGAATCTTGCTTACCTGAAAGCCTATTACGAATCTGGCAGAGATCGGCGACGTTTACAAAAAGGCGTGAGTCATCTGAAGAATTGAGCACCGACGGTCGACTGGAAGGGTTAATGCGTTTCTTAAAGAACGAAGTCGAAAACGAACAAAGAATATCATTGGCCGCGGAAGCATTTGGCTTATGTTCTGTCAATAACGTGGTGCGAAACCGAAACAAAAAGTTGTTGATTTAAAAGTACCTACGGCCGCGGATCTCGTAAATTGTGAAGCAGCAAAATGCATTTTTTGTGACGGATGCCATGAAGGCTTAGATTGTTTCAAAGCACAGAAAATGTCGTTAGACGAGAAAAGAGATCTGTTGGCGACGAAAAAGGCTTGTTTTCGTTGTTTAAAATTTGGCCATCAAGCTCGGAAATGCCGTGATCGGAAAAGATGTATTGTTTGCGGTAGGCCTCACTCAACTATAATGTGTCCTGCTCATAAGGACGTAGTTCGTCAAGCGGACGATTCTCACGAAGCCAAAGGTGCATTCAGTCAAAACCCTGATAAGGCACTTTCTAATTATACTAGCGCGCATGTATTTCTTCAAACAGTTCGAATAAACTTGGTAAATGGCTCCAAATCTAGGGAAGTACGTGCGTTAATAGATAGTGGCTCTCAGAGATCTTACGTTTTGAAATCAACCGCACAAAAGTTAGGCTACATTCCGACGAGAGTTGAGAAGATTATTGACTCAATTTTTGGAGGCACCAATACGTCGGAGCAGAAACATAGCTGTTATGAGATAACAGTTAAGGATAATGAAGACCGTTTGTGTGCATTTGAAGTGCTTGATCAGTCGATTATTTGCACAGAAAAACCTCCCGTTGGTTATGGTCCGTGGATGGAGGAATTAAAGGATTTGGACATTGCACTATCCGACACTAGAGATGGAGCTTCGATAGAATTGTTAATAGGGGCCGATATGGCAGGAAAGCTATACACGGGACGAAGACACATTTTAAGTTGCGGGCTGGTGGCTATGGAGACAATTTTCGGATGGAGTCTCATGGGAAAGGTACCAACCGACAGCAAAGATGTTGACCTTGCTATGACCGTTCTTTCTGTTTTCGTGAAAGATGCGTCGGTTTCGGAGCTATGGAAACTTGATGTTTTGGGAATAACCGAGCCAACAGAGACGAAAAATCGTGAAGAAATGGCTTTGGCGGCTAAAGAGCTCTTTTTGCAAACAATAAGGGTAGATGAAAACGGGCGTTATGAAGTAAGGTTGCCATGGTTAGAAGGGCATCCTCCGCTACCAAGCAATTACTCAGTTGCGTTGAAGAGATTAGAATCAACTGTTAAGTAGTTAAAAGATATTGGTCTGTTTGAGTCTTATGACAGTATTTTTAAGATGTGGCTGGAAGAAAGCATTATTGAACAGGTCCCTATGTCAGAGAATGTTAAGTCAGCACATTATTTGCCACACCGACCAGTCATTAAGAATAGTGCGACCACTAAAATTAGACCTGTTTTTGATGCATCATCACGAGAGAAAAATCAGCCTTCCCTGAATCACTGTCTAGAAAAGGGTCTAAACTTGATAGAATTGATTCCTTCCATTCTGCTGAGGTTTCGGGAGCAAAAAATTGGGATTATTTCCGACATTAGAAAGGCTTTCTTGCAAATTGGAGTACACAGAGATGATAGAGATTTTTTGAGGTTTTTGTGGTATGACGACTCTGGCAAGATAATTATGTATCGTCACAGACGAGTGGTATTTGGTGTTTGTAGTAGTCCATTCCTACTTGGCGCTACCATTGACTTTCATCTTTCTGAGAGCTTGAAGAAATGCGACACCCCAGGGGTTCTTTATGGCCGACAGACGATTGAAAAACTTATGAAGAGTCTGTACGTGGACAATTGTGTCACTAGTGTGAACAATGAAGCCGAACTCGAGCAATTCGTCAGGGAGTCCAATTTTTTGATGCAGGATGCGAAGTTCGATTTGAGAGGGTGGGAGTTTACTCACCCATCTGGATCCTCTACTCCTTTACCTGTACTTGGTTTATATTGGAATCCGCAAGAAGATGTCCTTACGATTGGTACCGAATTTGTCGAAAGCGTCAAGAATTTGGAAGGGAAAGAAATAACGAAGAGAGTAATCCTTTCACTCGCTCAACGTGTTTTTGATCCCATTGGGTTCACCTGTCCAGTCACCTTGCTTCCTAAGCTATTGTTGCAACAACTCTGGGAAAAGCAGTTGGGATGGGACGTGCCCGTTGACCCAGAGACAGAGGTCGCATTTCGCGGTTGGGCTGAAGATATTTCACATTTGCCATTAATAAAGATTCCTAGATGGATACAGGCTGGGTCCTTGGAAACCAACAAGTTGAGTTTACACACCTTTTGTGATGCTAGCGGGCAAGCATATTCGGCTGTAGTATTTCTAAGAATCCAAAAGAATGACGAAGTATTCATTCATTTATTGGCCGCAAAAACCAGGGTGGCGCCACTTCGTAAAATAACAATACCGCGTTTAGAGTTATTAGCTGCCACAATTGGAGCCAGACTATATGCAAGTATCTGCAAGAGCCTTGAATTGGATTGTGAGTGTTTTTTCTGGACTGATTCCTCCACGGTCATTTCATGGATTCGTCGTGTCGACACATGGGGAACTTTTGTGTGGAACCGCACCATGGAGATCCGTCTGCTGACCCCAGTAGGTTCTTGGAGGCATTTGCCTGGACAGTTTAACCCTGCGGACCTTCCGTCCAGAGGATGCTCGGCTAAATATTTATTCGAGTCGATATGGTGGGAGGGGCCCCAATGGCTTCGTAGATCACAAAATTTATGGCCTCAGGAAAACATTATTTGTGATGAAAACGAAATATCCAAAGAGAGAAAGAAAACTTTGGTAACGGTTATGTTAGGCCTTAGTTCCGATGAGTGGCACTTGCAACATTTCGCAAAATACAATCGAACGATAAGGCTAATTGCTTGGGTTTTTCGTTTTGTCTTTAATTCTCGGAATCCAGGCCAGAAGCGTACCGGAAATTTAACGACGGATGAAGTAGAGCCCGCAGAAACTTTTGTGCTCAAAATTATACAATTCGAAGCTTTTGCCGACGAGACCGATAATCGAATCCAAAGTCTGAACCCTTTTCGCGATAGTGCTGGTCTTCTCCGATTGAGATCGCGGATATCAATGAGAAAAGACATGGAGGACTTTCGCCATCCAGTACTTTTACCTGCCAAACATCCTATCGTGCACAGTCTTATTTTTGACTTACACCAGAGGTCACTACATGTTGGGGTTCAAGGACTATTAAGCCTATTGCGGGAAAAATACTGGATTATTGGTGGTCGGCGAACTGTACGGTCGGTAATATCCAAATGTCTTATTTGCAAAAAACACACTGTTAAACCATTTGTAACGGACGTCCCGCCTTTGCCGTTGGATCGGGTTCGCGACGCGGTTGTGTTTGAGACTACGGGAGTGGATTTTGCGGGTCCACTATACTTAAAATCCGGCGAGAAAGCCTGGATTTGCCTGTTCACTTGTGCCGTATATCGTGCGGTCCATTTGGAGCTAACAAGTTCGTTGTCAACGCAAGCCTTCTTGCAAACACTTCGGCGGTTTGTGGCAAGACGCGGTCGGCCGAAAACAATTTATAGCGACAACGGAAAGAATTTCGTCGGTGCGGAAAACGCATTCAGTAAACTCAATTGGGACAAAATTAGTGAGTACACATCTATTGAACGTATTAAGTGGCGGTTTAACCCACCTACGGCCGCGTGGTGGGGCGGTTTTTGGGAACGTTTAATCGGGGTTCTAAAGAAACTTCTGCGTAAAGTGTTGGGCCGCGCATCCCTTAATTATGAGGACTTGATGACGCTTCTATGTGAGTGCGAGGCCATAATTAATTCCAGGCCTCTCACTTATGTGTCAAATGATCCAGGAGAGCTGGTGACATTAACACCTGCCATGTTTTTGATGGACCAAGGAGAGACTGGAATGCCCGACTGCGATTCCATTGACAGGTCATCAATGTGTCGAAAACTGGTACGCCAACAGAACCTCCCAGAAGACCTTCGTAGGAGGTTTCGAAATGAATACCTGGGTCAGCTAAAATGTTTGGGCCCAAAGAATTCGCGTCGCGACGTCTCAGTGGGAGAAGTTGTCTTGGTAGGAAACGACAACGACAAACGTCTGGACTGGCCAATGGGGAAAGTAATTGAAATTTTTCCTGGCAAGGACGGGAAGGTTCGTTTGGTACGTCTACAGACAGCTAAGGGACAGTTGCTAAGACCTGTACAGCGTGTTTATCCGTTGGAATGTACGAGTCCTATCACGGAGGCTCTGGGACTGGCAGAGAGAGCAATCCGTATGGAGGAAGGCGTCAGCGGCGATCCCGGGCTCGACCGAACCGATGATCAAGTGACCGAAAGTGCGGGAGTGAATGACGTCCCTTTAGACGTCAAAAGCAGAGAATCCGAAAGTGCGGTGCGCTATATTACTCGAAGTGGACGACAGTGTAGATTACCCAACAGATTTCAAATTTTGTGAATTCTTTATGCGTGTTTCTTGTTTTTTATGTGAGTCACTTAAATTGTATCGTTCCTCAGGTGGGAGAATGTTGGAGACACACATAAAGAATTAATATTTTGCTTTTTTGTTTATGATAAAACTTATTCTTGTCGAGAGCGATTAGTTCTGCATTTGTTTATCCTTTTTAGTAGCAGGAAATGAGTTGTTTATGTATTTGTAACGTGATATATTGAACACTATCGGTATTGTTAACATTTAATAATAGTATGTTATTTTTTCTTTTAATTCGCAAGCTTAAAATGAAAGTAGGTCACAAGTAGTCCTTGTCAAGCTTTTGTACTGTAAACTTATACTCTTCTTATTTTTAAATTATAATTATTCTAACTTTTCCGGGTGTTTTCTTTTGGTACCTGCTGGCTGTTGTCCGAATCAGTGAACGGGGTAAAACGGGTAGTTTTATTTTCTGGTCACAACATT